TTCCCCTTATTCCTATTGTTTACAGCATATTCTTGTAGAAACTGGGGCAGATACGAAGTGTAATATATAACATTTCGCACGAATTAACTCTTAAAAGTATAGTAGATTTTCTTAACTATCTTCAAACACTATGGGAAGGTATTTAGCTGATAAAGTAGGTGATGAGTGCCAAAGACTACATAGAAATGTTGATGATAAAAATGTTAACATAGAGATATAAAGATAAAAATGTTAATATAAAGATACAAAGATAAAAATGTTAATGTTATAGCACTATATTTCTTACACTCATGTTTGTAATGCTACAATATGTATTGACTGAGGGAAAAACTGAATTTACTGTTGTTTTTTATTGTCATAATAATACCGTCATAATAATAACGAGGATAATGATAATAAACTTCATTTCTTATTTGTTTTTTTGGCATATTGGTGATTAAAGCTAAGTAAGTGAGATATAACTTCCGTAATATTGAACAGCAGGAACAGTTGTAACAATATAATTAGACGTAGTAAAAGCTGTAATAGTAATAAAGTATTCGCAACTACGCTATTACTACCCCATAGCGCGTGAATTTACAGCTTATACAGAGCGGCGGAGGACTGGTTCTAAGAGGTACTTTATTGTCTCTATATCTTGTCGGGAGGTTTCTAGGAGAGTACTACTGCACTTGCAAGGTCTTGGCTAAAATTGGCTCATATACATACATATATATGGATACATATATATGAATATATATGCAAACTGTGTGTGTGTGTGTGTGTGTGTGTGTGTGTGTGTGTGTGTGTGTGTGTGTGTGTGTGTGTGTGTGTGGTGTGGTGTAGTGTAAAAAATAAATAAATCTTGAAACATATTATGTAGGTCTTAAGAGACAGAGAGGCAGAAACTTATATGGAAATCATATGTATGCGTGTGCGCGCGCGTGTCGGTATGGGAGACAGTTTTAAAACAATGTTAATGCAGTTGTTTAGATACTAAAGTTTTGTTGATTTGTCAACCGAAAGAGAGCGAGAGAAAGACACACCACACACACACACACACACACACAGAGGGGTGCAATGTATAACTGAAACTTAATATACAGTACAAACCATAAGGCTAGATAAATGATAATGAAACGAAACAGAAAAGAGGTTAAGTTAAGTTAACTGCTCGTAAATCTTATCATTAAGGAACATTAGCTTGCAAGGATAAATGGGATCTTGAACGCGAAAAACAAATAGCAGATATTCAAAAAATAATTACTGATGAATCACGAAAGCAGTAAAAGAAAAGGAAATGTGTTTAATTTAGGCCGATGCCTTCACAAATTTTACCTGGCAATAGTTTATACGCAGTTATTGCACGTATCCATAATTAATTCAGTTAATTATCACTGGAATCATTATCAAATATCAAAATGATACAATGCTAGATCTGGCGGACAGCTGTGAATACTGTTAATTACGGGAAATATTAATACTTTAAAATAGCATACATAGCATTCCCCCATAAAGTCAGATACATCGTATTGGCAGCACAAAGAGAAAAAAAAAATCCTTTAAGCTGCAGTATTTGAAAGAAAAGAAATCACAAAGGACATATCACACACAATCCCAGGCGTTAACAGTAAGCTAAAGCACAAATTAGTTATTTAAATGCACAAGTGTAAGTTCAAAGCACTGAATAGCAAAATACGCACGAGGCTTCCTGCATTTGCTGACGAGAGTGACGCCAATTTGTCCAACGTCAGCAGTGTCAGTCTCTGTAGCGGGGGTCCCAAAACTAATTGCTTTACGCGCAGACGGTTGAAATCTAATTGCTCGCTTCTCGCTATCTCTCTATCACCTCTCTACTGTTTTCTTTGTCTCTCTTCAGACCTTATTGTTCCCTTCCCTCTTTCTCTCCATGTGTCATTTATTATTCTTCGTGTCTCTATCATCTCTCTACTGTTTCTTTGTCACTCTTCAAATCTAATTATTCCCTTCTCTCTGTCTCCCTTTTATCTCTACTATTTCCTTTTTATCTTAAAATCTTATTGTTCCCTTCTCTCTTTCTCTCCATTATCTCTCCAGTGTTTCTTCGTCTCTCTATCATCTCTCTACTGTTTCTTTATCTCTTCAAATCGAATTGTTCCCTTCTCTCTGTCCCTCTATAATCTCTCTGCCGTTTCTTTGTCTCTTCTAATCTAATCCTTGCCCTTTCTCTGTCTCTCTATCATCTCTGTAAAAGTCTCCTTGTCCCTCTATCTTGAAGTCTTTCATCGTGACGCTCTTTGATGTTATGCATTATCATCACATTCTTCTTGAATGCTTGCTACGCAATGACCATAACGCATATTTGTTAATATACGAGTTATCATTATGAATCAAAATGTACCTTGTTTATTATCATACTCCGATGTCCTCTGCCCAAAGCACCTCTGTCTATGACTGTCGTTTGTCTTTTTTTATGCGTGGGCGGCGGGTGGAAAGATAATAATAATAAGGATAATAAAAGTAATAATAAAAATGACAAAAAAATATTAGTAATAGTAATGGTAATAATAATGATGATAGTAATAATAACAACGATAACAATAATCATTTTGATAATGATGATGGTGAAAATAATAATGAGAAAAATAATCTTGTAAACAAAAACGACAACAACAAGAATAACAGTAATAGTATTAATTCAGACAATTATGATAATAGCGATAACATTAATGATGATTATAATGATAACAACAATAATATAAGTAATAATAATAATAATTATGATGATAATATCAATGATAATAACAAAAATTATTACAGCGATAATAATAATGATAACAATAAAAATGGTAATGATAACAACAATAGTAGCAACAGTAGTAGTAGAAATATCAGTAGCAACATGTGGTAATTAGTAATGATAATGAGTGATGATCGATATGATGGTAGAGATTGAACAATAACAGTTATCACTATCATTATTTTGATGTTATTAATATAATTACCAGCATTATTTTTATGAAACAAAAGAGTCACAAACAATATCATTAGATAATAATAACAAAGGTAATAATCAAGGTAATGATAATTACTTTCATTATTGCACACACACAAACTAGCATACACACGCACATCCATATTTATATATATATATATATATATATATATATATATATATATATATATATATATATATATGCATATATATATATATATATATATATATATATATATGTATATATATATATATATATATATATATGTGTGTGTGTGTGTGTGTGTGTGTGTGTGTGTGTGTGTGTGTGTGTGTGTGTTGTAATGAAAACATGCATATATATATATATATATATATATATATATATATATATATATATATATATATATATATATATATATATATTTATATATTTATATATGTATATATACACATATACACATATATATTATATTGTAATAACAAAGTCTGTATATATATATTGTAACGATGATAAAAGTTATTATAAAGATAATAATAAATTTAGTGATGATGATACGTCCTGATAAAGATATTAGTGATATTGTGAAACATATTGTTGCTCAATATTCTATTACTTTTCTTGTAAGAAGTATGTTGATTACCATTGCAATTATTCATATTATTGCTTCATCATTACAATTATTTCCATTATTGTTATGGTGGTTATTATTATTATGATAGTGATGATAATAGTAAGGATGATAATAATTATCAGTTTCTTACCATGTTTTCAGTAATGTTTTTATTATCATCATCTCTATTAATACACCTTTTATCATTAACATTTATCATCGCCATTATTATTATAGCCACAATCTTCTTTATTATCATTTTCCTTTAATGCTATCACAAACTACTATTACCATTAATTTATGTCTAGCACATTTATTTGTTTTAACTATTAACCATTATCACAATTTTCGTAAAGTATCATTATATACCTGATGTTGCATGTTAACAAATATTTCGGTATACCTCTGCAATTGTTACAAATGTATGTATCACTTTGAATGTTACAAGATTTTCTTCTCTTTTTTGCTTCTTTATTTTTGACATTGAATGCACATATTCACAGACAAGTGCATTCTTAGAATTCAACATTGTGCGTGGCGTGAGTGAGAGCTGTCCTTGTGTGAAAGCGAAAGTTATTCAACAGTAGAAGGTTATACAAGAGGTTATACTGAAAGGGATATGAGAGAGAGAGAGAGAGAGAAAGAGGGGGGGGGCGTCAAGAGAGGGAGAAAGAGAATAATCATAATAATGATAACGCCAGTCTGCAACTACAGATAATATAGTATAAGTTAATATAAAGAGCAATACTAATAACAGTAATGGTAATATGATTATAGTGATGATATTACAGCGAAAAAAATATTCACATGTACTCTGCCGTAAAAAAAATCTTCCAAAATAATTAAAAGCTTAAAATGAACAACATACTGAGAGAAAAAAGGATATAAATTAACAAACAAGTTTTTTTTTCAGAATTCAATACAAAATAAATAAATAAATAAATAAAATAAATCTAGGCTAAACCTCATCTAATGAAATGGGAATGAAGGAAAGGGGGAGGGAGGGAGAGAGAAAGAAAGGGAGAGGGGGGGAGGGGAGATAAAGAGAGGGAGATAGAGAGAAAGTAAAGGAAAGACAGAGGGAGAGAATGAATGATATATATATTTAAGAATAATTTTACGTTATTTTTTTTTTTTTTTTTTTATTCAGCCAACTCTCAAACCCAATTAAGACTTTATGAAAACCTCTCATTCAACTTATGTTCTGTTAAAAACTCCGAATCTCTTTGTTTTATGTATACAAAAAAAGAAAGAAAAAAAACACATAAAATATCTCCCTAAGATGACAATAGAAAATGTGTTACATTGATTCGATAACCTCCGTTTTATGCAAAGTAACACTCTCCTTCAGTTCTTTCGCCAAATACCGTGAAACGCACATTCCTTGCCTGGTATATAGAGTGATCGACAGCCAACGGTCGACACACTCACTCACTCACCATCTCTTGAGAACCATGAGGGCCATTGCAGTGAGTAGCGTCCACCAGAACTTTTCTTGAAGGACCGGGAGAGAACATTACAAAATCGTGTTGCAAGAAGGAAAAAATATAAGGATATTTTCATGCAAAAGTGTTTCTGCAGATATGTTGGCAATGTTCAGTGATATAAAATTGTGCAGTGTGGAAGAAAAGGAACTAATAAATTTCGAATGGATATATTTCGAATAGGTGTAGAGTATTTAGTGCTCTCAAGAAACCATCATTTCATCCATTCGACCAACCAACCAACCCGTCTTGAATCAGTCCATCCATCCATTCATCCACCCTCCCATTCAAGCATTCATTCATAAATATCGTCATAGTCACATGATGTTACAAATATCTTCGCATAAATAAACACCTATCAACTTTCCCACAGATCGTGCTACTCTTGGTGGCCGCCGCTGCAGGCCAGCAGAAACGCGAGGCTGAACCTGGATACGGACACGGGATCGGCCATGGCTTTGGCTTAGGCTTCGGCATTGGCCACGGTCACGGCATTGGCCACGGTCACGGCATTGGCCACGGTCACGGCATTGGTCATGGATTTGGCATCGGCCACGGCCATGGAATTGGCTTTGGTCATGGGCACGGTCATCATGGTCATGGGCATACAGTTGTTACTGAAGTAGTCCATGGTGGTTATGGCCATGGTCATGGAATCGGATTTGGACATGGCATTGGCCATGGCATTGGTCATGGACATGGAATCGGCTTTGGGCATGGGCATGGCATCGGCTTTGGACATGGTCACGGCTTTGGTCACGGAATCGGACTTGGCCACGGTTTTGGACACGGCTACGACCACGGCATCTACAAGCGCGAAGCCAAAGCCGAACCCGAAGCCAAGGCCGACCCGAAGGCAGAACCCGGCTTTGCCCATGGCTTTGGAGGCCACGGCTTCGGCGGTCATGGTTTTGGCGGACATGGGTTCGGTGGCCATGGATTCGGGCATGGTGGCCATGGATTTGGACATGGTGGCTTTGGATTAGGTCATGGCTTCGGTCACGGATTCGGTCACGGCATCGGCCATGGCCACGGTCACACCGTCAGTCATGAAGTTGTCCATGTTGGGCATGGCCACGGTCATGGTCATGGATTTGGACACGGCCATGGAATCGGGCTTGGTCATGGGTTCGGACATGGTCATGGGTATGGACACGGTCACGACGTGCACATAATTGAACACGGCCATGGATTCGGTCACGGGATTGGCCATGGTTTCGGTCACGGGATCGGCCATGGTTTCGGTCACGGGATTGGCCATGGTTTCGGACATGGTTTTGGCCACGGAGGATATGGCCACCATTAGCCAGAGGCCCAGAGTGTTTCTTGGGTATCCTGATTGTACATACAAAGGATATTGTAATAAACTATTTAAGCATAAGTAGTTATTTCAAGTTCCCAAATCATTTTATTTCCATGTTCATAATTGTCATAACACACACACACACACACATATATACATATACACACATATATATAAATTTCTGAATACATTAACACACGCACATACATCTATTTATCACACACACACACATATATATATACATATGTATATACATACTGACCATTCTGATCAGTTCATCAAAATAAATCAATATAAATCGTTCTAAAATAAAGAAATAAAAGCTTATGATAATGCGTTTTATTTTATTTCTTACATGACACACAATGCATTAGACGTATATATGAACCAGTTTAGATTATTTATTTGATCAATTTCAAGCCATTTTGCACAATAAAGATAAGAAATTTTTTTAACACAGCTATTTTTTACACTATTGTAAGTATTGCTTATTTATTTATTGTTGTAGGGGGAGGTTGGTGCATAATCTGTTGCCTAGAAATCAAACTAGGGTCAATAACAGCATATGGTATAAAGTTTGAAGCTAGACAGACAATAAAATGCTCTGAATCTTTCATACTCTGATCTGTCATTGTGTTCCTATGATCACATGCATTTAGATACAGTATGCAGTTGAGCGTTTTCCCAATTATGCAAAACATATACGGAAAAAAAATACGCCGAGTTAGTTACTTAAGGCTTATCATATTATTTGACATTTTTGAAATATCACCCATTTTGTATGTCTGAGGAGGATTATAATTAGATATCTCTTGTATTTCTGTGAAGCTTTATAATTAGATAGCCATTTTTTTGTTACATATACATAAAAAATATATATAGGCATCCCTTGTCATTGTGCTTTAGATGATAGTTTGATTCTGGAAACGGGTGTTCCATCATATATTTATTTTTAGCCATGTTTCTACATTTTATTCACTAATCAATTCAATTTTACTGAAATACTCTTGTCAAAATAATATTTTTTTTTTATAAGAGAAACCTTGGCAAGTACTTTATCCGTACATCTAACCCTTTTTTGTTTTCTATTCTCCATCCCTTATCTCTCTCATCGTTTATACCCATTGCATTATATTCAAGAATTACTTAATATAATGATGGTAATAGTGATAATGATAATGTTCTCTGCTAACTAGATGATATGAACAAGATTAGTAAGAACAGTGACATATATACATACATACATATATATATATATATATATATATATATATATATATATATATATATACAGACACACACATACCTGCACATCCACACCCACCCACACTCACATATGCGTGTGTATGGGGGGGGGGGGGAAGGGTACACACACATATGTGTATGTGGGTGGGTGTGGATATGCAAGGAATATATATATATATATATATATATATATATATATATATATATATATATATATTATATATATATACATATATATGTGTGTATGTGTGTGTGTATACATATATGTATATATATATATATATATATATATATATATATATATATATACATATATATGTGTGTATGTGTGTGTGTGTATACATATATATATATATATATATATATTGAAGGCTATCATCAGTCGATGTCTATTATGGCATTATTGTCTCTACCCACTCCCGTATAGGCAGAGTTAATGCTTGGGGGGAAGAAAGCGAGGAGCAAGCTTTGCCCATGCAGCATGCTCCCGCTCACCACGCTCCTGATGGATCCAAAGAAACGGCATAACGACTGATACAGTTTGGCACAAGCAGCCTCGCCGTTTAGGTTAGGTTGAACGAGGTCGCAAGCGCTCTGGCTATATATATGTGTGAATATATATATATATGTATGTGAATATGTCTTTGTGTCTTGTGTGTATGTGCATATGTGTGTCCATGTGTCTGTGTTTTTGTGTGTATGTCTTTCTGTGCACCTGTATATGCATATGCGTGTGTGTGTCTATATACATCCATATAGGTATAAATATAAATATATATATATATATATATATATATATATATACATAAATACATACATGCATATATATACATATAGAAAGATATCTAGGTAGATGGATATATGAATATACATATACACATACATGCATATATATAAATAAATATATATATATATATATATATATATATATATATACATATATATGTATGTATTTGTATATGTATATTCATATATATCCAAGTACACATACACATATTTATATATTCATAGGTATTTCACAAAGATCACTTTTCATGTCTCAGATCCTGTATCTCAGCCAAGGAGCATTACAATGCCGATATCCATCTCTCATTTTCATACACGGAATAACAACATATAATACAATCATCTATACAAATGATTTTTTGATATTTACTCCTAGCAGTACTTTTATCCTGTTCTCACGCAAAGAACATTTACAGGCACGCATACCATGACTCGTATGATTTTACCGAGATATATATACAGTGAAGAATGGTCAAAGGTAGACACTCGCTCTCAGTTAGCAGTCATGAGGACCACTGCAGTGAGTCGTGATTGCGTTGTGATGACCTTAACGTGAAGCTTGGATATATTTCATAGCAGGAGAATGATGTGATTTATGAGTTATCTTATCATTATTGTTATCCTGATGTGCTGAAACTTGAGTAGTAGCTTCTAAAGGCGAAAAGTTCCATTCATGATACTCTTCTGCAGATCGTGTTGCTCCTGGCGGCCGTCGCGGCGGCGCAGCAGAAACGTGAGGCGGAACCGTCCGGAGGATACAGACACGGGCTTGGACACGGCTTCGGTCTAGGCTTTGGCTTGGGCCATGGACATGGCTTTGGTCATGGACACGGAATTGGTCATGGCCATGGATATTCTGTAACAGTTGTGCATGGCGGTCATGGTCATGGACATGGATTCGGACATGGCCATGGTTTCGGACATGGCCATGGTTTCGGACATGGTCATGGTTTTGGACATGGCCATGGTTTCGGACATGGTCATGGTTTCGGACACGGCCATGGCCATAGTGTTGTACACCATCACGGTATTGGGCATGGACATGGAATCGGATTTGGCCACGGTTTCGGACACGGCTACGGCCACGGCATCTACAAGCGCGAAGCCAAAGCCGAACCCGAAGCCAAGGCCGACCCGAAGGCAGAACCCGGCTTTTCCCATGGTTTTGGAGGCCATGGCTTCGGCGGTCATGGTTTCGGTGGCCATGGATTCGGACATGGCGGGTTTGGATTTAGTCATGGCTTCGGTCACGGTATTGGCCATGGCCACGGTCATACTGTCAGCCATGAAGTTGTCCATGTTGGACATGGCCATGGTCATGGATTTGGACACGGTCTTGGTCATGGAATCGGCTTTGGCCACGGTCTTGGACATGGATATGGACATAACGTACACGTTATAGAACACGGAATTGGACATGGTTTTGGCCACGGACACGGTCTTGGACATAACGTACACGTTATAGAACACGGAATTGGACATGGTTTTGGCCACGGACACGGTCTTGGTTTTGGCCATGGGTTTGGAGGCTACGGGCACCACTAGCCAAAGCCCTGGAGCGTTTCTGGATATTCTAGCTGTAAATACTAAGATATCTGAATAAAATATTTAAGCTTTTTAATCCCTGCTTTCAATT